TATTAGATGGTAAGTGGATGAACAGCCCCTGGGGGTATGATCTTATAGTTGTGCTCCATCTGAAAATGTGGTGAATTCTAAGCAAGGTAGAGATGCAGTTGTCTATGGGGAGCCATCTAAGCCATGCCCTTAAGCCCATGGCCAAAAAGACACCACCCAGCTATCGCGATGCTTAAATCTACCCTTAGCACCTCGTTCCTTTGAGATAATTTTTTATTTCTCCAGGTTTCTTATTTCAAATGCAAATACTTCCCTTGCAAGGACAGAGAAACTTTTTGTCACTCAAACCTTGGTGGAAACAGAGGGATTCTGTGCAAGAAATAAACATAAAGAGAGATGGACAGAGAGGAAATAAACCGGCTTTTATTCCAAAGGGGGAGAAAACTGTGAGAATTTCAAGGTGAGGAAGAGAAAAAAGTCCAGAGAGAAAGATCCTGGAGACAGCTGGTGGCGGAGACCTGCCTGGCTCCAGATGCTGTCTCTGCTCCCAGCTGTGTGAGCCCAGGAAATCTTACCTTTGAGCCTCACTTTCCTCTTTTGCCAAAAAGCTGACAATTGTTGAGAATAAGATATGGGACATTAAATAGCTTGCAGAGTGGGCACAAATGTTTGTTTCCTCCCCCTAACTCTTAGCTGATTCCATAATTCAGCTGTGTACACAGCAACCTGCAGGCAAATGTCCCTCCCCCACACACACACACACACCCTACATACAGGCTTCTTTGGCTTCTTCAGCTTGAGCAGCCAAGGTCCCCAAACAGGGGACTCTTTGAGACATTCCATGAAAGGGCAGTTTGTGCTGCTCCTGGCATTGCTGGACAGGAGTTCCCCAGGATCAACACCCTCTCACTTCCTCCTCCAGGACAGCTCTCCCTGCTCCCGCCTTCCAGTGGCATACATTCACTCTCCAGTGTCTTCCTGGGCTCCAACATGGAAACCCTCTTGACCCTCTCTGGCCTCACCATCCTTAGGCTGAGCACCACGCTGCTTCCCACTTGATTGTACCCACTTATCTCTTGTTACATTCAGAGTGTGCTAGGTAGCTGCCTGAAGGGCAGCGATCTGGGCACCTCCTCTCTTAGACTCTCGTGAAGCAGCTAACATGGGGCTGTTCATCCAGTGGCCGCTCGCTTGACATCTGCAGAACTGAAATGATTCATATGACGGGGCTCGTGGCCAGCAGGCATCAGAGGCACAATGGATAGACCTTTTCAACCAGGGAAAGTGTTGGAAAACATCTCTACAATTGTTGGCTTTGAGAAATATTACTGCCAACAGGAGCAAAGCACCAACAGCCAAAGGAACACCATCCAGACAGTGGAGGGCTGGTTAAGCTCCTTGGTGTCAGAGAAATCTGGATTGGAATCCTTCCTCTGCCACCTTATAGCCATGTGACCTGAGGCAAGTTAGACTTTCTCTGCCTCAGTTTCTCTCATCTATAAAACAGGTATAACAGTACTTATTATAAAGAATAAAGGGGATGAGTGCATCTAAGTTCTTAGCAAAGTGCCCAGGTTAAACAATATAGGATTACTAAGGATAATAACAATCATTAATATCAAGAATATTACCTGCAGTGAGGCTTACAAGTGATATATATTCAAGGTCAGGAACTTGTGTTGGACAAGGCTGTTAGAAAACTGCTGGAAACTCAGTGTAAAAAGATAAAGAAAATTATAAACAAGCAATCCTCAAATTGATCCTATTATGAATGATCTACCTACCCACTTAGTGCTACTGGGACCTCACATCTGCACAGCACTTCCTAGCAGGACTAGTCAGACTTTGGGGGCATGGAGACTGGCGAAAATATAAAAGAATGAGGCAGTTCTACTCTGGCTGTGGTGTGGTAGAGGGACATGGCTTTGAAAGTGTTATGGTTTAGATATGAAGTATCCTCAGAAAAGCTTGTGTTGAAAGCATGATAAACAATGAAGCAAGGTTGAGAGGTGGGGATTTAGGGAAAAAACTGAAAGATTAGAGCTGTCATCTCATCAGTGGATTTATCCACTTGATGGATCAGTATTTTGAATGAACTACTGAGTGATAACTGTAGCAGACAGGGCACTGGCCAGGGAAGTCATGCTCTGGGGGTGCAGCCTTGGATGGTATCAGCCTCTGGCCTCGTCCTCTCTTTGCTTTCCAACTGCCCTGAGCTGAGTGGCTTTTCTCCACCATGTTCTGCTGTGACTGACTGTGGACTGAGACCTCTGAAACTGTGAGCCCCAAATAAACTTTTCCTTCTCTAAATTGTTCTTGTCAAGCATTTTGGTCACAGCAAAAAGCTGACTAACACAGAAAGCATCCAGTGGAAAGGGCACTGGTGAGGGTCACAGATGGCCAGATGTCTAGCCAAAGCTCTGCTACATCCCCCCAGCAAGTCACTGACCACGAATCTTTCTTTCCATAGCACTTGCTCTGCTTTCCTCCCCAGGGAAGTGGGGTTCAAGAGGAGTGGAAAAGTGGTCAAAGTAAGGTATTAATATTCAGAGCTTTAGGGACAGGCACTTCCCCTAATGCAGGTCTAGTCCTGTTACTCCTTCCTGGCCACTATGGAGCCTCTCATCTTCAAGACTTGTGCATGGCCCTCCTTCCCATGAAGACTCATAGTGCCCTCAGATCATGTCTGTCTACTCATGGCTACAAGGTCTTGTGATGAATTGAGGGTCTGTCTCTGTTTCTGAGACCCCTGAATCTCTCTATGGTTGCTTGCCTCGCACATGCTTCTGCCATTGTGATACCATCCACCATGAGGCCTTTACCAGAGCTGGACTGAGGCCATTGTCATGCCCTTGAACCTCCAACACCAGGAGTTAAATAAACCTCTTTATAAAGAAAAGTTCCCAGCCTCTCATATTTTGTTAGAGTAACAGAAAAGTCTAACACAGCAAACTACCCTAAATCACCATGATCTCCTTGCTCTCATTACTACAATCAGTAGTAATTCATTTCTTCTTGCATGCCATATTTTCATATTGTGTTCAAATGGTGATTAATTCCTGCTGGTATTGTTCCCAGGGATTCTGTCCTGTGCCTCTCTATATACCCACAACACCGGCTGAGCCCCACACATCCTCCTGGAAAATGTTCAGTAAGTAGTTGTTGCTTAATTTGCAGTTAGGTGTTCCTGGGTCTCAGTCAGCTGGTTTAGGTGTTTGATAATCCTCATATCTCAGACTTGGTTAAAAGCACATATATTAAAGGCACAAGGTTTGGGGCCAGACTGTAGGACTTTAAAAAGTTCTTAACTCTAACTCTACCTCCTTGTCTATAAAACAGGGATGAAAAACATATCAAATCTCCAGAGTTAGGATGAGCATTAAACATGGAATGCATGAGGCCCTTAAAATAGTGCCATCTCAATAGACTCACTGGTTGCTCCATTGCTATATTGGGTCAGATCGACAATGTAATTCTGAGAAGTTCTGGTTCTGTGGAGAAAGGAAGCAGTACCCCGCCCCACCAAAGCTTTCTGTCTCAGGACTACTTCTGTCTCTGGAGCTGGAGGAGGCAGGTAGAGTGGGTGACAGTAGCTTTCTAGAATACTGGCACAATCAGCATAAATACAGGCAATGTGACAGATACTCATAGAGGCTCAAAGGAAGCTGGACATCAGGACATCAGAGCCCTAACTTTGGGGGGCTTCACAGCTCTGGGAAGCTGAGATCCTAGGGGCTTGGCGAGGGGAGGGGGCAGAGGCAACATGGAGACTAACCACCTGGTCCTTCACCTTGTGGCTCCTCTGTAAGCAAGACACACCCACATCCCTGGGGAGGAACCCAAACCAAGTGATCTTTCAGTGCAAGCTCTCAAATAGCACCTTCACCATCACTGCGGCCACAGCCCACACTAGTCCCTCTGCTGGGAAAGACTTCTCTTCAGACCCCGCCTGTAGAAATTCCACCTCCACAGTGCTGTTCAAAGGATGCCTTTGCAAAACTGCTGAATGCCTACTTAGTTTGAACCAGACCTTCTGAGGACTCCAAGAGGAACAGAGCACAGTCTAGTGGGAGCAGCCTGGCAAATAAACAAACATTGAAATTCAGTGAGATGGGGGCTATAACAGAGACACTGACAAAGTATAGGGGCCATAAAACATTTGCCCTGCAAGGAGGGAAACTGACCATAATTAAACAAACAAAGTAACTTCAATACTGATACATGGTGGGAAGAAAATAAAATCAGGTAATATGGCACAAAGAGGCTAGAAGGGAGGGTAGTCAGGGGGGACCCCTGAGGGAACATCAGGCCAAGAGCGGAATGAGCAGAGCTGGGCTGTGGGGAACAGCAGAGGCAGCAAAAGCAAAGGCCTGAGAAGGTAGCAAAGGTGGCCCTGAGCACAGTGGCTCCAAGGGACAGGAAGAATGTCAGCGCAGGGAATGCTGAGAGGAGAATATGACAAAATGGTACACTCTGCTGTTTCACTCATCGTTTGAATATAAGAAGATCGGTAGTTGGGAAGAATGATTTGTAAACATTTTAATGTTTACATTAAAATTTTTTAATGTATTAAAAAATCATCACATAAAAGTTGCTTTCTACTTAAAAAAAAAAAATCAYCAAATGATGTACTTTTGCATGGGGTGCACATCCGAGTCAGACACACTCCCTGCTCAGGCTACAGCAGAAGTCAGTGGGGAGAAGGACAAAAGTCTTAGGGGTCGGACTGACTGCTCCTGCAGGCGTCCTCACTGCCACTTCTGGGTCCCCGTGGTCAGAGTGGCAAAAACTCCGAAAGCTCAAACCCTAGAGACTGTTGGTAAGTTCTATTTCTAACACAGTGAGTTCTAGAAGCTTCTCTCCCAGGCCTCCATGTCCTTATTTGTACTGTCCATTCTCCTATGACTCTTGTGGCTGGACCAGAAATAAATTTAACTTCTCAGGGGTCCCCGGTGAAGGCTCCATTTTCAAGGAATGGGCAAATGCTGACAAGCCTCTTTCAGGAGGCTGCTCTCCCCTCGGTTCTCCTTCTCCAGTTTTTGGCTCCTGGACACGAGACTCCGCAAGACTCCGCAGCTGCTCTGACAAATCTTCAGTCTTCCGGGTTGGAGCCGCAGGGTCTGCGGAATTCCTGTCCATACTCGTGTATCCACTTGTTGGCCACTGGAGACAGCGGGAAGGAAGAGGCCAGCTGAGCAGGGCAGCCATGGGCTGAGCGGGCGGGGAGGGGCGGATGCACAAGCACCTCCAAAAACCCTCCGGCCCACCCAGTCCCAGCTCACACTGGGTTTCACGCTGTTTCTTCTAGCAGAGAAGAATAGCAGAGGACAGTGTTCACCTAAAGTCCAAGAGATCCTGCCTACTGGAAAGTGATTTTCAAGTGTGTGAGCACTGAAGTCACTCACCTTTCATTATAAAATCCCACCTCCCCCCAAAAGCCACTCCTGAGTAATGACAGAAGTGTGGTGGCTTCTTTGGCAGTGTCCATGTCAGCATGAAAGCCTTCTTCCACCTCTTTTCAGAGCTCGGTGCTCTTGGACACACACAGCCATAAGCACATCTGCCTGCTGCTTGTGTAGGGCCGCCTCTCCACAGGTGGCACTGACAGAGAGCCTGATGGCTCATGTCTTAGAGCAGTGAAGGGGAGGGACTCTGTTGCCACCTTCCTTCTCAGCTGTGCCCAGGATCAAGGCCCATGTAGCAAGGTCAATAAACCTTTGTAGACATTTACTCTGTGTCAGGACCCTGCTCTTCACGAGCTCCTACCTGTGCGGGGCACCCTGTTGATAGTCTGATCATCTTAATACAGTGTGGCTCCATAATGAAGCCTGTGGCATGGGAGGGCTTCGTGATCTCCCACCCACTCCCTATCTCGGCACCCCTCACCCCATTCTCATGTTCAGAAAGGAAGGACTTACCCCACTTATCTCCCACCAGGACAGGACAGCCAGCATGAAGTGTGTCACCGTCCCCCTCACCACTCCTATGCAGGTTCCACCAAAACAGTGCTGCATTCTGAAAACAAGAGAGGCCAGCCCCGCAGGAAAGTCAGGCCAGAATCTCAGTCCTTGGGAAGCCCGTGACTAAGGACAAATGCATGCTTGTGGTTCAATAAGGAAACCCTCCCTGCACTCTGGGGCAAGGCATGGTGAAAACAGCACAATCTGACATAAACTGCTGTACGCATGCATAGGCCACTGATTTAAAGCTCTGCTCCTCTCCAGGCCCTGAGTGTGCAGAGACAAAGCCCATCCAGCTCTATTCCTTGGAGTTCACGAGAGGCAGATAAAATAGAAAAGGGTGATATAGTGTGGGAAGTGAAGGGTAAGGTAAGGATGGGTGTGGTGGGATTACTGAGGACAGATGCCTAACAAAACCCACAAAGCAGAACAAGATATTCCTCAGTGGGAACTTCATTAGTTCCAGAGCTTATGCTCCTTGAGGCACTTATGACCAGCACCCAGGAAGTAGGCCTCATCATAATCCCCTCCCTGAAGTAGTCCATGCTTAGGGCCTTGAAATCATGTAACCAAGAAAGAGCAAAGGTAGGACTCAAGCCCAGGTGTTCTGACTCCAAGTCCTATGTGTTCTTTTGCCCCTACACTCTGCTTTTTTGTCCCATGCATTTCCTAGAAACTTAGTTTAATCTTGGCCATCAGAAATAGATCAAGCCTGAAGTAATGAAGGATACGCCGACACCTCTGTTCCTAAATCTAGAAGAGACGTCAAAGCCCTAGGTGCTCACAGACACATCTTTTATTGAATGCTTAGAACATGCCAGGCTMTGTACTGATTGTTTTATAGGCATGATCTCATGAATTTATTTTCATTTCATTTCTGAATTAGGTAAGGGCTGTCAGGGAGTTTGATAGATCTGAAACTTGGAGGAAATATTCATTCATTAAATAGAACTCTTACTGCATGACTCTCCTCTGGGCCTATCTTTCCCATAGCTCCAATTTCAGTGGTTACTACATATTAGCTTCTCTGTGAGCCCCGGAAGGAAAGGACTCTGAGCTTTCCTCTGTATCCTCCGTGCCTCTAGAATTCAGTGTGGATGCAATTAATAACTGCAGGAACAAACTACTGTAGAGAACCCAAGGGTCAATCAAAAGAGGTCTTCCCAGCCAGGCACAGTGGCACACGCCTGTCATCCCAGTGGCTCAGGAGGCTGAGGCAGGAGGATCATGAGTTCAAAGGCAGCCTTGACAACTTATCAAGCCACTAAGCAACTCAGTGAGACCCTGTCTCTAAATAAAATACAGAATAGGGCTGGGGATGTGGCTCAGTGGTAGAGTGCCCCTGAGTTCAATCTCTGGTGCCCTCCCCTAAAAAAATACAAATAAACAAACAAAAACAAATAGGACTTCCCTTCCAGCTCTACTGTGACAGGGAAGATAAACACCTACTTGTCACAGAAGTATAAATAAACAGAGCCACAAGTAACATGCCAGAGAAATAGAGAAGACTGTGACTTTATGTTTGATCCTGAAAATCAGGGAAGACTTCTTGTTATCCCCCCCCTCCCAGGACTCGGATTGCAAGAAGAAGTGTGAAGGTTAGGGGGTTACTTCTGTGCCCTCTCAGCCCCCTCCTCTGGGAGCAGGCCCCACTCACCTTAACCACAGGCACGCTGAAGTTGGCGTAGATGAAGGCCGTGGCTCCTCCAGCTTCCACTGAGCTCAGCTACAATGCCAGAGGAAGAAGCCACAGTTAACATTGCCACCACATCCCTATTCTGTCCTGTGCTCAGTGGCCTGGCCTGTGACATCATTTTTGCATAGCTGCCCTCTTGTGGTGCCCTGTTTCAACTCTGAAAGACTGTCATCCTTGAAAGATAGTCATCCAACTTCAGGATTTAGGGAGACTTATTTCCTCATCTGTAAAATGTGAATAACACTAGTGAGAAAACAGTTTAGCAGTATGTATCAGGAGTACTAAATCTATGCATACCCATTTGAACCAATAACACTAATGCTAAGACTCTTTCCTAACCCTAACCAGCTGCTGTAGGGGACCCAAAGGTGACTCCAACAGAGTCCTTCCCCTCCAGGAGCTCTACTGTGACTGTTACCCTAATTTTCCTCACCTTAATCTTCACACTTCTGCTTATACTAAGTACCATACTATGAGTCAGAATTGTTGTTATTATTATTCTTCACATTTTATAGATTAAGAAATAAGTCTCCCTGAATAAGTCCCCTGGTGTTTGCCTGAAGGAACACAAGAAGACAAGATTTTGGGAGCCCTTCTTTCTTTTTCCTTTCAGCTAATATCCTTATTAAGGGCTACAATAAGTATATTCAAACTTTTTTGATTGAGACCCTCAGGGAGAAATGCATCATAATCTGACACACACATAAAGTTTCATAAAGACATTCCAACTGCATGAGACACCTCTGATATTTTTCCTTTTATTTATTTATTTTATTCTATTCTAGTACAGTTTTTAAAAATACAGATCAGATCCATTAAATTTAATTTCACAACCTACTAGTGGATCATAACTTGTGACTTGAACACCGGCTTAGATTACAACAATCTGTTTTTGAAAGGTGGCCATCTCAAGAACTATTTACTGCACCTTTCTCGGGTTCCCCAGATCACTCAGTTCCACTCTAGGTCACCTAAGCTGAGGGTTTCCACCACTGGTATATTCTTGGATTGCAGATATGTTTTCTTAATATAAAGATATTTTTTCTCGATTGTCAAAGAAATACATAGTAATCATAGACATTTTTTAATACAGGAAAGCATTTAAAAAATCACTTATCATCTTGCCATCCAGGAAAAAGAAATGCAGTATTATAGTTACATAGTAATAGCTGACATTTAGTAAGCACTGACTATATGCTAGACATCACACTAAGTACTTATACTAAATACTATACTAGAAGGATTAGTATTACTTATTATTATTTATATTTTACAGGTGAGGAAATAAATCTCAGAGATATTAAATACTTTTCAAAAGGTCACATAACTCTTCTGTGACAGTCAGGATTTGAGCTGAGCCAGTACTATCTGACTACAAAGTCCCTGCTCATAAACATTATGCTGTACTTTTGAACATTTAGGTTATTTCCAAATATTTACTATTATAAACAACACTGCACTGAAACTTTTTTTTTTGCGGGGGATGTATGTGTGGTATTGGGGATTAAACCCAGGAGCACTCTATCACTAAATTACAACACTTTTTATTTTTTATTTTGAGACAGAGTCTCACTAATTTGCTCAAGCTGGGCTTGAACTTGCAATCCTCCTGCCTCAGACATCCAAACTGCTGTGATTACAGGCATGTGCCACCAAGCCCATCTTGAACATCTTTTTAAAAATTTTTTTTTTAGTTATAGGTGGACACAATACCTTTATTTTTATTTTTATGTGGTGCTGAGGATCGAACCCAGTGCATCATGCATGATAGGCGAGCATTCTACCACTGAGCCACAACCCCAGCCCCTGAACATCTTAATCAATGAAATTGTTTTTGAATTTTGGGTTGTTTTCACAGGAAAAAGAATTAGCGTTATGAGTCCAAATTGGAATATTTCTGATATATACTGCTAGATTATTTTCTTTTTTTATTAGCTACACATGACATTACAATGATCTTGGCAATTCATACATTTGAATCATTGGGGTTTAATTTCTCATTTTTCTGACTGTACAGATTGCAGAAGCTAAATTATTTTCTCACCAGCCATACAACATGAGAGAGCAAGTATTACCTCACTCTGCCTAGCACTACTAGAAGGTCCATGTTCTTTTAATTTTGTGGTCATCAAACCCCATCCCACCACAATCTGTGTTACAGAGCAAGAACTTTAGGCCTGAAGAGGTTGTCACTTACAGGAAACTGAACTGTCTTGGTGATTCAGAACCTGGAAATGGCAGTTTTAGCTGTCAGTGCTCCTTGGTTCCCACTGTGGCCACTTGGAGGGCCAATGGGAACAACTCGATCTTTGTGTTCAAGAAACTAACAGATGGGATGATTCTGTTCTGTTGTAGTCACTGTGGGTACAAGCATGACTCACCAGGGGCAACCTTGACTTTCCTGCATTCCTTTTCCTGTGGTTTTAGACACAATGTAAGGAATGATCAACCAACAAAAGAAAATCTCATTCTGTATGCAATGAAGTTCAAGGGCATGAACTGTAGAACAGTGCTAAAAGAGATATTCTTTATGAATACCTTCCCTGTATTAGGACTGAACTTATGTCCCGTCTGGGCAGAAAATCACTAACCTATTTCAAGTCCATCCTCTGTACTTCTTAGAAATTATTTTCTCTCTACAATATTACTCTTGTCTCCCACAAACCTTAACATTATTTGCCTTGAGAAATGTTTGATGGTCTTTACCCAACCTGAAGATGAAAATATTGGTCCTATGACACTAATTCCCCTTTATAGGGTTCTTTCCTTACTTGCTTGGTGGGATACAATGAGAGAAACATATGAAACTTTCCACAGTGACATTCCCCCTGCACTATCTCCTCAGATCCTTATGACAACCCTGTGAGGAAGTGCAGGGCAAGAAAATGAGTTCAAATAATTGATGTGATATGTACTGAGGCCCCATAGTAAACCACAGAATCAGGATCAGGCCAGCTGAGTTCAAAACCAAAGTGCATTCCATTCTACTGTGTCTCAAATGCCTAAAACTCAAATGTACATGCATGTTCTCTAATTCATTCTCTCTCTCTCTCTCTCTCTCTCTCTCACACACACACACACACACACACACACACACACACACACAAATCCAGATGTGCACAATTGCCATTTAAAATTGCTGGGCCTTTATCCATCCTACCTTCATTACAATAACTGGGCCTCTGTATCTAGGGAACTAGCCATAAAAGATTTGGGCAAGGCAAGAGGGTAAAGAACAGACATACTGTGCCCCCAGATGCTCATATTGTCTGGTTGACATCTACACTTTTCACTGCCTGTGACCTCCCATGCCAGCTTCAGTGATCAGCCAGAGACACAACCAGCTGCAGATCCAAGATGTGCTCCCTGCCTGGCAGCTGGCTTCAGCTGTGCCTGATCAGAATGACCACCGAGAGGTCAGATGCCATGTTTAAGAAGTAGTCTCCAGTTAGTTCTTCAGAAAGCATAAAACTTAGCCACTGGAGACAAAACCAGAATTGCAGGCATAGAGACTATATGCAATGCCAGTCTCCGACTGCCCTTTCTTGGCTCTTGTATCTTCAGAAACCAGATACAGGCCTGAGAGAAGAGGGAAAGCTAAGGGAGTGTCTGCTCATCCAACGAGCCTGAAAACAGGACTTCATCTTTGGTTGTTATTCACAGCCTCAGTCAGGAGTAATCTTTTCCAATAAGTGTTTGCTTCTAATAATCTCTTCCAAGTGAGAGATGATCAGAATTATGGCTTAGGTGTGAAGAAGGAAATAAACCCACAGGACCTGAAGGGAAGGTGATGGGTGAGATAACAAATGCTGGGACCAAGTCCCACAGGACCAGGCCGGGAACCAGAAGAGACAAATTTATTGTTTTGCTTTTTCAGGGGATATAGTGGAGATTTTACTGAAGAATTTATGGGGAAATAGGAGGCGGATTTTTCACTGAGACTTCTCTGAGATTTTCATCTTAGAGACCACACCTGAGGAATTTCTCTGTCGGCCTCCCTGTGCTTTCCTCCTGGTGACTGAGCTGCCTGTCTCTCCTCTCTCTCTCTCCCACACCTCTGCAGCTGCACTTAAGGGCCCTGCTTTCCAACTTAAGTAGGCTGTGGGACCTCAAAGAGGGAGACTCCTGTATGCTCTTCCTGCATTTTTAAGTCTCACCAACTCTTGGCCTTCATTGTAAACCTACTGTCCATCCTAATCCATGGCCTATGACAAGGTCATATTAGATCCATTCCTTTACATCTCCTATAGTGTTGAACAAAAAAAAATGCTATTTAAAATTAATAAATTTCCTGAAGACTTTTGTGTTTAGTACCAGATAAAATCAATACATGAAATTGTTTTGAACACCATAAAAAAGAGGAGAGATATAGTTATTAGGTAAGAAGCCCTGGTCCCTCCAGAGCAAGACTCACATAGATCATAAATGTTGCAACTCGGTTTCCAGACTTCATTCTGTATAAGGGGCTGCTTGGTGACTGAGACAAAAATAGAACATAACATTATTTTATGCAGATGGCACCAGGATGACATAATGAGGGGACCATGTGCTCATCTTTGCTGGCAGGTACTCAATACTCTTTACTAGACACTATTTATTAGACACTCACATGAATGAATTGTGTGCTAATCAAATAGAACTACTTGTCAATAGTGAAAGCTCTATATGAGAGGTGAATTTTGCCTTTGGGTTCTGTGAAATAAATTCATATGTAAATTCTTATAGATCATTATTCTGTAGGAATACCAAATGATAAGTGGAGTTCCCAATTACTTGCCAAAGAGAAATTTTTTTTTGGGTCATAGAACAATCTAAAATAAAACTTACATACCATAAAATTCACCCATTGTAAGCATACTATTTGATGAACTTTAGCTAATTTCAACATTTGTCCAACCACCTCCACAATCCAGTTTTAGAACATTTCCATTGACTGGTAAAGTTCTCTCATGCCAGTGTTCAGTTAATCCCTCTATAACTCTGAGCAATACACTTACCTACTTTCCATTCTGTTTTTTCCCTTTTCATATAAATAGAATCATAAAATGTGGAATCTTATCCATCAGGCTGCTCTTGCTTGTGCACTATTTTGAAGGTTCTTCTTTGTGGTTGGATGTACCTGTCCATTCTTTCCCTTGATGAATAGTATTCCATTGTGCAGGTATATAAAAATTTGTTATCCATTAACCTATGGATGGACTTAAGCTGTTTCTAATTCTTGGCTAATAAAGCTACTATGAACATTCACATGCAAGTGTGTGTATAGATGTATATTTCCTTTTCTCCTGTGTAAAATATCTGGAATTGAAGTGGCTGGATCATAGGCTGGTGTATCTTTAACTTTTTAAGAACTGCCAAACTCTTTTCCAAAGTGACTGTTTTATTTGACATCCCCCCAGTGTGTGAGTCGTCACTATCCTCACCCACACTTGGTATGATCTCATAAGATATCTTTTTCATTTTAGCTCTTCTAATAGGAATACAGCGATATTTCATTGTGGGTTCAACTTTCATTTTTCTAATGGTGTTGAGCATCTTTTCACATGTTTATTAGTCATTTATTTCTCTTCTTTGAAGTGCCTATTTAAATAATCTTTTGCTCATTTAAAATTTTTGAGTTGTGAGGCCAGGGTTGTGGCTCAGTGGTACAGCGCTTGCCTGGCACATGTGAGGTACTGGGTTCGATCCTCAGCACCAAATAAAATGTGAATAAATAAAATAAAGTTAAGAAAAAGAAAACAAATTAAACTCACCCTTAAAAAAATTAGTTGTCTGTTGAGTTACAGAAGTTCTGCATATATTTTGGATACAAATCCTTTATCAAGTATATAATTTACAAATATTTTCTCCTTATTGGTGACCTGATTCTTCATTTTCTAATGGTGTTTTCTGAAAAGCAAGATTTAATTTTGACAAGGTCCAATTTATCACTTTTTTCTTCTTTTATGGATCAGAATTTGGTGATCTATAACTCTGCTTTGCCTAACCTGTGGTTATAAAGATTTTCTCTTAGGTTTTCTTCTAGAAGTTTGTTTTTTTTTAAAGAATATATTCTTTTTTATATACATTTTATTTATTTTTATGTGGTGCTGAGGATCAAATCCCATGCCTTGCACATGCAAGGTGAGCCACAACTCCAGCCCCTCTTCTAGAAGTTTTATATTTTGCATATACATCTACAATCCATTTTGCATTGATTTTCATAAATGTCATGAAATAGATTCTGATGTTGCTATCATTATTTTGCTGGTAGATTATTGAATTATCCCAGCACCATTTGTTGAAAATGCTATATTTTCTTCATGGCGTTTCCTTGGCATCTTTGTGAAAAAAACAACTGACCATAATTGTACAGGCTTATTTCTGGATCCTCCATTCTGTTTCCTTGACCTATGTTTCTGTCCTTCCACCAATACCATATATAGCCCTGGTTCTTGTAGCTCTACTCTGGAAATGACTATATGATGTCTGTGAATGAATAAGTGAACAAATGAACAAATGAATCATGAAATCAGGTACTGTATAGCCTCCAATTTTGTTCTTCTTTTTCTAAATTGTTTGGCTATTCTAGTCCTTTGCATTTCCATATACATTTTAGTATCCGTGTATTAATTTCTACAAAAATAAGCCCTCTGGAATTTTAATAATGTTGGGGTTGAATGTATAGTTAGATTTTGGGGCTGTTTTTTTAACCCTCAAAAATTGATTGTTACTGCCAGCAAAGGCAGGCAGTTGAGATCATAAGAAAAGAAGAAGGGCTGAGATAAGGACAGTCCTCCCTGGGAAGTCCCCATATGAACAGGAGACAAGATTCCATAACAGGCCACATTCTGCCAACATAGCAAATTCTGGAAAGTGGAATGGTGACAGATAAGAAAACGAACCAGCAACAATCAGCTAAAACCAAGATTTTTAGATATTCCCTAAATAAGAACCTTTGTTCTAAGATTTCATTTTGTATGACTCTGAGAGCCCTACAAGAGCTACATCTCACATAAATAAGCATGCATTCACTTTGGCCTCAGAAGATTGGTCATCGGACCCATTGTTACCGTAGCATGGTCAAAGTGAGGCTCATAGTGCCCTCCAATGCCATAGTTCACCACCTGGAGATACTCTGCGTAGGGAGGCTGGACATCAAGGCCTGTGAGGGCTGCGATGCGGTGGTCAAGGGTCACCAGCATTGGGTCAACAGTGTCCTTTAGCCAGGCACTAAAACATACCACAGAGTAGAACATCAGTGATTCAGTGCTGGAAATGACTACATGTCATGTCTGTGAATGAATAAAGGATCAAATGGATACAAGTTCTGGAGGGCCAGGGGAGAGGGGAAGAGAAGCAGCATGAATGCCTGATCAAATACACATCCCTCATGTTAAGTCTGCCCAATTCACTTTGCTTTCTGTCTCAACATTCACAGGTGCATTCACTCAATTAAACATTCTCGGAGGCCATAACCCATTCCTGAGCTAGGTGCTGAGGCTATAGAGTAAAGGTGCACGGYACCCATGACTGCGACACCCATGACTGTGACTGCCCCTGAAACTGCTATGTGGTAAAGACTTCTACAACAGAGGAAGCCGGTGCCATAATGGAAAAGCTTGGGATTTAAAGTAAGAAGATTTCTGAACATTCTAGCATGCCCCTGTAGTCCCAGCGACTCAGGAGACTAAGACAGGAAGATCACTTGAGCCTAGGAATTTGAGGCCAGTCTGTGCAACATAGTAAGACCCAAAAGAAAGAAAGAAGGGAGGGAGGGAAGAATTCAAGCAATAAGACTAGTTCCTGATCCTCTCTCTGTGAGATCCTAAGTCAGGTACTTAATTTTGAGCCTAAGAGTCAGTGTGCTCTTCAATAAAATGAGGATAATAATAATATCTGCTTCACAGACTCATGAAGATTGTGAGAGAAACACTACGAGGATGCTTTGTAAGCTGGGTTGGTGACTGCTGTGAATTCCAGGAGCATCTCTGGGAAACCAGGACAGGTCAAAGACCAAAGAACATACAGCTCAGACTCTTCCTAAATGTCTTGTTGAGATTCTGACAAAGTAGAATTTTGGAATCAGAATTTAGGTTCCAGGGAAATGAGGACATGCTCCCCAAGCAAAGCCTCATGGGAACAGCATGAAGGCTTCGAAGGGAAGAACCCTGGCATGACCTTGGAAGACCACTTCTTTGCTCTTTAAATGATGACTAACAGAAAATAAGTAGAGTGAGAAAATGAGAAATACACTTTAAACTGCTGGGGAGCAGAGAGGAAGGAGTTAATTCTACCAAGGCAATTAGGTAAAATGGTAACATTTAAACAAAATTCTGAAGGGTGTGTACCAATTCAACAGACGGAAAAGGGCAGGTGTATTCCAGCCTGAAGAAATTGCATGAGTACAAGCATGAAGGTGTGATGATAAATATGTGCAAAGGTCCTTACCAGATGCTCATGAACTTCCCAACTTGCAAACCATGAGCTAGATAAACTTCTATTCTTTATATATTATCCATTCTGTAGTATCCAATTATTGCAACCAAAAATGGACTGAGAAATGGGTAATTGATAGTGAAGGTGACAGCAGACAGACATGAGTGTTGGGAACATGAGGTTAAGGGGAAATTCTATAAACTGAGCTGACTCCCATGTGCTTTCTTAAAAAAAAAAAAGCAATTTAATTTATCTGCAGCCCTGCCTGGGTTAAGTTAATAAGATGTATTACATTGGGGCTGGGGTTGTGGCTCATTGGTAGAGTGCTTACCTAGCATATGTGAGGCACCACATAAAAATAAATAAAATAAAGTTATTGTATCCATCTATAACTAAATATATATTACATTTCTCAGCGACCAACCTGCTATCTGCAGGAGAAATACAGGACCAAAATGCCAATAAGGAGAACACATTACCCTGAAGTGACTTTTGTGTAAGAACAAGTTCAATGGGCCAAAGAGACTTAGAGTTGCTTTGGGCCTTTAGCATGTGCAGTGGGGCTTGGAAGTTTGAGGCAATCCCGCTGAAGTCAAAAGTCAAGAGGTGGACCTGGCTGGGACTCTCTGGAAACTTCTCTGGGACCCTCAACAGAACTGGAGGGCAGGAGTGAGATGTGGCCCTTCTCCTCTCTGTAAGGACCCACTCTCTCCCTTGAGAATGTCCCCTTCTCCTATTCCTTCTAATAAATTCACGCCTCTGAACAACATGTTTGAAAGCTCTCTGGTGTGATCCCAAGAACTGGACCTCCACAATGCCTCACCTTTGCAGCTACTTGGCCCCACAGGCAGGCCCTTGCTCTGTAACAAAGGTTGTGAGCAAGAAAATGATTTGGCAATTCAGAGCTCCCCGAGGACTTCTGAGAGACCAATTCCAGTGGAGTTATGAGGACAGAACCAAAATTCAGAGGATTAAGGAGTGATGTGAGAGGGTGGAGGTATTTGATCTGAAAAGAAAATATCACCTATTCCCCTAAAGGAAACAAATCTAAATAGAAGATTGAATATTCTTTAACACAAGAATTTCAGAAAGGTTAGAAAAGACAATGAAGCTGAGGTCACACAGACCTTTTAAATAATGGTGAATAACTCCTAATGCTAAAGGTACCAGTTARGCCAAAATGATTCTGAATGAAAGCTTTCATTTCTCACCTCATTTCCTAGGCAACGCAAACTAACCATCCATTCTGAGATCTGGTCTCCCCAGGGAGGCTGCCAACGCTGTCTCCCGTGGCTTAGGGGGAGATTTTTTTCCTCCTACTGTATCATCAGTCCCCTCAGTGCAAATAAGGGATTCAAGGGGAGGGCAGGGGTGGAGGGAAGAGGAAAAGCTGGACTCCCACAGTTGAATCTCTTCCTCTGGAGAAGCCCTGAGGTCTTGGAAGTCTATTCATCCCTTTTGCTGAATGTTGGCAAGCTGTGCTTGCATATGAATCAGGAGGTGGGAATGGAACCTTATAAAGTCAAATTACAAATGCAGGCAGGAATTTTCTGGAAAAGTGATCCTGGTTAGAAGAATAATTATATGCTTATTCTGGGATAGAAGGCAAAGGAGTTTTTTTTCAAGTCTTTTCCTCATGGCCTCCCTCATGAATTCCTCAGAAATATAACAAACTCGAGTGAGGACAGTGGAAACTTCTTCCTCTCAGAAAGAATGTAGAGATATATAACATTCTCAACATTGACCTGTAGGGTCTCCAAGTGTCCTTGCCAACCGGGCGGTCAGCTGTGCCTGGGCCCAGGAGTCTGAGAGGAAGGGCTCCTCTTACCTTTTGCTGATACGGTACTCCACTTGCAACTGCTTTTCCCCTGATGCCACCACTGATCTCTGGAGCTGGTGGGAAGGACATGAGACAAAGTCCAGGCAGTTATGATGCATGGGGAGGGGCTGTCATGTCCACAGACATGCCCTTTAGGGAAGCACAAACATAGACAATAGCCAGTTCCTTCGTCATTAGAGGATATTTTGCACATGGTACTATTTTAGGGATGAAAATGAAAAAACTCAAAACAAGTGACCAAAAATCTTATCCTTAACCACAGGATCTGGTAGCCAGCAAGTACTTAATAAAAGTTTGTCTAACTGAAATGAACTGATTCTTGAATCTACTTTGTGTCTGTTAGTCTGTGGTCAGAACAAGGGCTATTTCTCATCCTTCTTTGTAGCACAGTGTGGGTCACCAGCCCTCACATAAGGTAGGCTGCACTTGGTGTTTGTTGAATTAAATGAGCTCCTTCCACAACAGCAAAGTGTGTGCTCAGAGGCAGCTGCTTCATTTGAACGATTGAAACAAAAGCCCTTCCTCACAGAGAAGCACAATCCCTTTTACTTCAACTGCCTTGATGAGGAAAAATCTATAAACAATTTGAAGTCACTGATTTAACTCAATGTCTCTATTTTGTTGTGAATATCTGGTTATATATAGCTCTTAAATTATTTTTCACAAAGTACTTCCTAATGGCAAAATCACTGAATGAGGGACCAAAAGATAAACATTACTTATTTACACGAGGATGTGTCTACTTCTGCTTCTGTCATCAGAGTAGCAGCTCTGTGAGGGCAAGGTCTTGGTCTGTTTTCACAGCTGTGTCCCCAGGGTACAGAGCTGGGCAGGGAGGTGCTCAGTATGGATTAAGCAAACAAACAGATGAACAAAATAGTGCCCTGTGCTGAAAGGTACTCCCAGGACTCAGCCAGCCCTGGTGCTTCCCAGGAAGTTGGGATTCTAGTGGGGACAGTCTATAAAACACAGCACCTCAACACGTTCCTTGGCCTGTTGTTCCACAAGATTAGGATGCAGGGAATCAGGTTACTGATATTATCTCTATCCATCCTTCACTAATCGTTCCTGGTATCCTCTTCCTGGGATATTCATAGAGGAGAGAGGAGGAATTCAAAAAGGACAGATGAAAGATGTTTCCTTCTGTTATTTTAGGGCAAAATCAAGGACTTAAAAAAAAATCCTGGGCTGGGGTTGTGGTCAGTGGTAGAGCGCTTGCCTTGCTTGTGAGGCACTGGGTTCAATTCTCAGCATCGCATGTAAATAAATAAAGATTCATCAACAAGCAAAAAAAAAATATATTTAAAAAAATTCGGGAAGTCCTCCAATTAAGGAGCTACTCTGTACCTAACTCCTTTAACATTCATTTACTGTTTACCTCCAAGTTATTCAATGTATTGGTTGTCTTCTGTCCTAAGTATTCTGCTATGCATTGGAAGAACAATACATTAACCCAGAGTCCTTGACCACATGTCATATAATGGGGCCATAACAGCAAGTACAGAGTGCTGTGGAAATACAAAGATGGGCATCTAGCTCACTCTTACAGGGATAGGAAGGCTTCCCAGGATATCCATAAGACCCATTGCAATCATACAGGTAAAAAGACATCAAGAGTTTTGCAGGCAGAAAGAAGAAACAGCACAAGCCATTTACAGAAAAGAAAGCTCCCTGCAGTGGAGTGTCAAGTACAAGAGGGAGATGTGGTGAAAGGGGTGAGCAGCAGTCAGGCCATGGCGCTTTGTAAACATTTAAGGACACAGTAACCCATTAAAGAGTCAAAGCAAGGCATTTAGAAGGAAATCTGGCTTTTAAAGATTACACTGACTGCAGGAGGCACAACACAGGCAAAGGCATTTTAAGAAAGACAATACATGATGCTTGCTAGTTTATAGCATGGCCAGGGAGACAGAGTACTAACCCATGAAACAGCTACTAACATCAAACAACATATAAACGGTAGACTAGCTGGGATGGTGGCACGCACTCAGGAGACTGAGGCAGGAGGATCATGAATTCAAAGTCAGCCTCAGCAACTGAGTGAGGTTCTAAAGCAACTCAATGAGACCCAGTCTCAAAAAATATATATATATTTTTAAAAAGGGACAGAGTGTGGCTCCGTGGTTAAGTGCCACTGTGTTCAATTCCTGGTACCAAAATTTAAAAGTTAATTACCAAATGACTCATGACAAAAGTTTTGAGTTCAGAGGATGAATGCATTATGACATGTGGCCCCCCCGCCCCCACAAGTGCTCTGAAATGTAGAGTCACTCAAAGAACCAATGAAAGTAGACCAGAGCAGTTAGGACTAGCAGGCCCGAGGGAGGCGTGGGGTTTTAACAGAATCTTCCAGGGTGGGCAGGATGGGGATAGAGAAGTGATGAAAGAGCAAGCTTTGGAAAGGTACAGCGGAAAGGAAACAGGTAAATCCAACTCAAGCCTCTGCAGCTTCTGTGCTCAGCTGTGGGGTGTGGGGGGTTAGGGGGACACTGCCACACAAACCCAGGGCTTACTTCTGGAAGAATCCAAGGCCAGTCAGGCATCAGCAACTTCTGGGGGAAGGGAGTCTGGTAAGGCTTTTGTGTGCCACATGGAAGACCTGTCCTGAAGGATTCCATGAACATCTCTGGGGGGGCCACCTGTCCCATCACCATGGCAACAGAGCTGTTCTGAGTAAAAAGCCACTGCTGGCCAAATGTGACTGCTGACGCTATTGAAAATATATTGTCCCATCACCAGTAGAGCTTGATCATTTTAAAAACATCATGTACAAAGATTCCAGACTTGCCCAGAGAGACTTTGGGTTAAACYGATTATTTCTGTTCTGCCTCCAGTCCATGTCTGCTGCTCTGCCAGGCTGGGTCCCAGAGTGGAGATGGGAAGGCAGAGCTGCAGCCCACCCAGGGCAGACATGTAATGTGGGGACTGTCACTAGATTCAGGGGCTGCTTGTTACCACACATAACTTAGGCTATAAGAACAGCAGAACGGCAACCAAACTACCTCTAAGTGTCAGTAATGACATTGCTACATGTATGACCTTCCTCTCCCTGGGCCTTAGTTCCCTCTTTAACAAGATTATGAAGTTGAACTAAATAATCTTTCCGTCTGTCAGTCTGTAAATATGTATTAGGATTTTATTCCTTGTCCCTGTCATGTTTTCCATTTCTTCTACTAATTAATGGCTGGTGTTTGAGGAAGTTTCCTTTTTATTTTTTGAGGTGAGATTTACGTACAACGACAAGCATAGACCTCAAGTGGACCATTTGCTGAGTCTTGACAACTGTTACAGCTATGGACTCCACACTCTTAAGAAGATACTGAGAGCACATTTTCAACATTCTAGAAAAATCCTTTGGCACCTCATCCCACTTAATCCTTTCCCTCTAGAGGCAACTGCTGTTGTGATTTCCTCCACCATCTTATGGGGCTGGCTGGCATTCTGAACCCCTGGACTGATGAAGGGTCTAGCTGTGGAGCCTTCCTTTCTCATGCTCTGAACTCCAGGCATGTGAAGACACAGGAGCTTTGGGGACACTCACCCATGGTTCTGCAAGCTCGCGAATTTTCTGAGCCTCTGAGTCACTGACAAAGTCATGATAGAGAGCAACATAGGGCTCTAGGTGAATGATCTCCTTCCGGATGGGCTGCAGAAGCAGGTAGGGGCTGGAATTGGTCTCATAGGAGCAGTAGAGGCTAGGGATCTGGTAGTGAATGGGCTGGAAGGAAAAAATAGACTCAGCATAAAAGAAGATGACCTAAGAGTGAAATCATCTTAGGGGAACTAAAGCATAAAACCAGGAATTTGAGAGATATTGAATAAGGTTACTTGGATACTATCCAAGGGAGCTTTATTGTTCTTCAAGGCATCAGCTTTTCCCCTTTTCACTGTCCAAATTCTAGCTTCTCACTCTGTAGCCAGGCCTATCCCCTTTCTTTTTTCCTGAGGAATCCTACCTGGGAGCCCAGGGTCTGACATAACCCCTCATATGTGTCTCTAGTCCGCAGGTGGGGCACTCTGGGTCTCTGGATGACAGCCTCAGCTATAGCCTGGTGGGGGCTCTCTGCCAAGAGCCTTTCATATTTCAACACATTCCTGGCCATCCTCTTATTTTCTGGGCCTGGGGAAAATCAGAGCAGGGAATAATACAGATTAACAAACACTAGCCCCAGAAAGTGCTACTAAGATTGCCTGCAACTTTACTGTCACAGAAGACTGGCACTAGAACATTCTGAATAACTCCTTGACAGTGCCCATATTCCCAGAAGAGAATCTGGTATTTAAAAAAGACTGACTTGCACCCGGTGGGTCTGAAAGTGCAAAAGGTTTTGGGAAGGAAGGTGGTACCTACACTCTTAGATCCAGGGACCATGAAGATGACTGTTCTGGGATGGCATTATGGTTAGTTTTATCCATAGAATAGAAACTTCATTCATTAATTTGTTCATTCATTCATTACCCATCCATTCAATAAATGCTCAATAAACACCTACTATGTACCAGATACTGTGCTAGAGGCTAACCTCCCAGAGTTCAGAGTCTAATGACCACTTAGAAGAAAACATGTCAGGGGCTGGGGATTGTAGCTCAGTGAGGCACTGGGTTTGATCCTCAGCACCACATAAAAATAAATAAGTAAATAAAATAAAGATATATTTTTTAAAAAGAAGAAAAAAAAACATGGTAAGGACAATAAAAGGAAGTCCAGAGAGTCAAAGCCTATGTTACAGGGACCCAACCTGTTCTTCCCTGGGGGACCCGAAGCTAATTCATCCTCGGCTCCATTAGATCCCTCAGCATTCCTAACAGGCCTAGACCCAGAACAGTGCAATATGAAACAAAGGGATTTTGGATTTGGGTTCTAGGCTAATTCCCACAAGCCCTTGAGAAACCCTGTGTCTTGCTTGTGCCCACCTGTTTGTGCCCACTTTGGCTGCAAGATGTCCCATGGGTTGGCAGCTACCCATGGCCCGCTGGCCTCTGTGTATGACTCTCAGTGCATCTCAGAAGGAGGTGCTGAATTGTTCTAATGCTCCCAAAGTGTCTGAAGAGCCCTGTGTGCTTCTAACCATCACAACCACCCTGGCAAAAGAGCAAAGGAGTGAGCAGAAGTTACTATTCCTTTCTAACAAAAGGAAAAATCAGATTTTGGAGAATGGAAATGATGAGCCCAAACTCAAGTGAAAAATACTGCAAAGCTAGCATGAGCTGGGACCCTCAACTTACCAGGCCCTATTTACTCACCTGTAATAGCACACAATTTTGATTTTGGGGGGAGAGACAGAGATTTTTAAAAATATATTTATTTTTCAGTCCCTCATGTATGCTAGGCAAGTGCTCTGCCACTGAGCTACAATGCCAGCCCCATCTACACTATTTGTAATGCTACAAGGTAATGCTATTAAAAATTGTTTTACTGTTATCACCTAATGAAAAATGACAAAAAAAAATTCTGTACGTGTTCAGAAGAGATGCCACTTTTCTCAACTATCTTCAATCTGAAGTTGGTTGGGTGGTTGGGTTCACAGATGTGGAGAGCAGACTGTACTAAATGGATTCATTAAAAAGTTATGAATAAATATAGTTATAAAATCCTACATGAAATATCTTATAAATATTAGGACAATTAAAATAGCTTTTGTGTCTTATTTGAGTATCTAAATACCTTATTAAAAGAAAACCTAGGAAGCCATTCACTACCAAAATTTTAAGCAAAATTATCTAAGCTGAGCCAGGAAGCGTCTTCCTCCAGTTCGACTCACTTTGTTGTCGGCAAGGCTCTCCCTGAAGGGGAATGAAGTTGAACTCTAGCCACCTGGGCAGGATGCTCGCCTAGCAAAGTGAGCTCTGGTTTTAAAGGAAAGAACTGATAGCTCTCTGTAAACAGCCAAAGTGAATAATCCTCTGAATCATGCTCCTTCCTGCACACACAGCACACACTGATTTCATTCATTCCTGGGACTTCCAAATTCATTCCTAGGACATTCATTCCTTGGTCTTTAAAATGTCTCTGAAGAAACTGGTTCCCAGCCTGGGTTTGTTCCATTTGAAGTTTTATCCATAGAATAGATTGAACATCTCTGCATTTTCCAACTGACTTACAAATTTCCCCCAGTGCACTGATGTTCATATACACCAAAATTTGAAATGTTCTTTAGATAACAACATTAAAAGAATGAAAATAGATAACTGTACTTTACTTTGCAGGGATTACAGGCCAAAAGCAGAAGTCAGACCAATGGCTGGCTTATCTTATCATCACTTACTGTAGAGAAGAAACTCTCGGGAGAGGCTCAGGGCACACGAAACATTTCCTGCCTTATTAAAAAAAGAAAAGAAAGTGTTAACTGTACTGAAGACATACTCTCTGACCAAATCATTCAATGGACATTTTTTAAATTATAAAATATTCTTACCACAAGTAGATAATAAGGCTCTTTGAAAGAAGCAGCAGGCTAGAGATGTAAAGAATTTGTGACTCTGCTGCAAATCAGGTGTCCTCAGACTCCTCACTAATAAAGGACTTACTACCACCCTTACCAGAAGAACAAGAGTAATTTAGTAAAAATTTCTTAAAAATAAATTAAGATAAGCTTTCTTAAAGGCCCTCAAATCTCAAAGTATGCAAGCGATATAATGATGGGATATTTTGTTATTAAATTTAAATAAAAACTCTAGTAAAATTATAATTTATTCCTAGGGTATAGAAAGTCACTGGGAAGGAAGCAAAGGAAGAACCAAAAGAGAAACATTCCCCAATGCATAAGAATTAATTGTCCCTGCAGCCATTCAACCTTGGGCTCAACTGGTCAAAAGGAAACAGGAGATTTCTAGACCAATCTGGACAACAGAATTCCATACAGTGGGGTGCAATCCTCCTTTGGGTGCTTCCAAATGATGATTAGCTAATAGAAATTGTGTATCTTTTCAATCCTTTCATCTTACTTTAGCATATTAAGAATTCATTTTAGTGATAAAAGCAATATGTACATTAAAATATGATATGCAATGAGCAATGTGATAAAAATGATCCCCATGGAAATCCAGGCACTGAAAGCACTTTGCTTAATACAAAATAATAATTGGGCACTGTATTTAACACCCCATCTTTTGGGATGTGCCACATCAGGCTACCTTCTCTAAGTCTTTCTACATCAAGTCTCCATTTTCTTCCTCGATTGAAACTCAAATCTTCTCCCCCTTTGTTACATCATAACTATTCCATTTTCACTTTAACATGCAGCCATTAAGCAGGAGAGTAAAGAAAAGCTCACAGACATTTTACAATAAAGACTCAGGAGCTTCCACGAAGTGAACAGTATCAGCTGTGCTGAAAATAAGACTGTTTTCAAGTAACGTGGGTTTGAACCACCAACACCACCTTCATTTTTCTTAGGAAAACGAAGAAAGAAAATTGAATACGGAGGTTCTGAGGGTTTATATCAGTGACAGAGTGCTTGCCTAGCATTCCCAGGGCTCAATCCCCAGCACTGTAAAAATAAATAAAATAAAAAAGGAATTAAGGAAATAAAAATGGTTTATTAGCTTTGGAAACCAGGGAACTGACTCCTTGGAGATTTTTCCAGCCTATTCTTGAATACTGCACAACTCCAGTGAGAAATGGGGTTAACAATACAAAAAGATGGCAGCTGTGTACTTAGGAAACTGAACCTCTAAGTGAGGCACAGCAAGTAGTCCATCAACAGTGCCAAGGGAAGATGACAGCTGCATGAGGCACTGAGGCTGGTGCTACAGCACAAAAACGCCAGCTCTGGAGACAGACACTAGACATGTTATAGCCGGACTCAGAGGGAGAGCGCTCAAACTTCTTCCTCCATGACAACATCATGATACAATGTCTGTGAAGAGCTAGAGTTGCTGAGAGCACAAACAAGTGATCTACAGCCACCATGACCCAACTAACTATGAGCTTCATGATTAGTTAAGAATTTTTTTGTAAACTCCGTTTACTCACATGTGATATATGGAAACAATAAAATAAATGCCCTTCCCACTTGGTCCTATTGGGAAGATGAAATAAATTTAAGAGACAAGAAAATGCTTAGAAAGTTGTAAAGCAGATGTAAAGCATTACCTTTATTATGATACACGCAGTGAGCTTCACTCACTCCCCTACCTGGAAACAGGCAAAGGCCAAGTGATCCAAGGCATCTTCTAGGCTTGCTTCATCCTCTGTCTTCCACTCCCCATAAGAGCCTCGGAAGAGACTGACAGCCTCCTCCAGCCATGGAATGGCATGGTAGTAATCCCCCATGTCATAGGCCACCTGAAGGGACAAAGTACCACTACTAAAGGCTTAGTCCACAGGCAGAGGAAAGGAAATGATGATTTAAAGAGTAAAACAGCCTTTGGAACCCAAGAAGGCAAGTCTTAACCTCAAATTAATTTTAATTTAATTTACTGAACATCTATTATATACAAGGCATTGTACAAGGTGGAGAGGAGACACAAGAGTTGTTGCATTTAAGGAATGAATAATCTGTGAGAGAAAAGAGATATGAACTCAAGAAACCATAACGGAATGGTAGGAATGCTTGAAGGAAAACACATAATATGCTTTGGAGAGATAAAGAAGTGAGGAGACTTGGGAGTCTAAGGTTCATGCAGGAAATGGCATCTGAGATAGGCCTTCCTTGAAGAAGGAAAAGGTTTCAAGAACAGAAGTAGGGAAGAAGAGCATTCTAAGATGGGAAAATGGGCTGGGTGTGCTGGTGCACACCTGTAATCCCAGAGGCTCAGCTCTGGAGGCCGAGGCAGGAAGATCACAAGTTCAAAGCCAGCCTCAGCAACTCAGTGAGACCCTGTCTCTAAATAAAATATTAAAAAGGGCTGGAGATGTGGCTCAGTGGTTGAGTGCCCCTAGGTTCAATCCCCTGTACCAAAATAAAAAAAGGGAGAATGGCAAAAATGGAAGCCAAAGACAGAATTCCATTCAAGCATTCCACAGAAACAGAAAATAAACATAAGGAACATGGCCTAAGCTAATTACAGTCTTAAATGTCACATTGTTAAGGAAGATATTACTGGTGGCAATGTGAGGAGTGAATTAAATTTATTTACTTATTCAGTATTTGCTGAATGTTATGTTCCTGGTGGTCCTTGTCCTTGAAGAACTTGAATCAAGTGAGGGTACAAGAGCAAACCAATCATTGTGACAAATGCATTAGACACCGAAGTGAAGGCAGAGATGGGAATGCTGTGGCAGCTCAGTGGAGTTGTTCTGATTAAATGTCAGAATGCTGGGCGATATGGCAACATGTGCCAAGCCTAGCTCCTGTCTCCTAATAGCTTAAGCTAACTAGAAAACCAGACMGGAAGATGGAATTTCCTGGAAGTCATTACTGAAAACAACATGGAATTACAGTTACAGAGTTGGAAAAACTCTTACCAAATGGCCTAATTCAGGTGTACCATCCAGACAGGACGGAACCTAGAGATACGGCAGCTTGTACCCTAAATAGTAAATTAATTCCCATCCTAGGACTTCCATTGACCTTCTGTTTTACATTTCTGTTCCTCAAGTTTCCTCTTTGTGAAAGGATTGAGCTGAAGAATAACATTAAAAAAATGACTGAACTTTTTCTACTGAGTTAACCTTTTATTTTATTCTTTTTTCTGGTGCTAGGATTAAACCCAGAGGCTCCTGCATACTAGGCAAGCACTCTACCACTGAGCCACATCCCCAGTCCTAACTATTTATTTAATGAATATTTCCTTTAGCAGCTTTAAGTTCTAGCAATGTAGTCAGCTGAAATAACTGAAATTCTTCCAGAAATATTTAGATATTTTAAACAAAATACAAAAATCATTTTATTATATATTTTCAAGAAAAAAAAAAAAAGGAAAATACCAGGTACCAGAAACAAAACAAAACAAAAAAAATCTAAGAAAAATGCTGAAACAGCAAAATTCGAACATATATATATATATATAACATTTTAATTATAAAGTTACTTGTTATATTATTTCATGTACTCTTCTGATATTTGTAATGTTTTGCCTTTCAAAATAAATAGATAAATATAGAAATAAGGATTGCCAGTAAGTTTTTCCAGAGTGATTTACTAAATTTTCAAGATATGGTTTTAGTTTCAGAAAGGCCTCACTGATGAAGCACATATTGGTATCATACATCAAACTACTTTAACTGACTTAAATTTAAATTAGCCATGAACATGACAATTGGGGTCTGATTCCACTCAGGACCTCAGAAAGGGAAAATAGTATGTAGAGAGACCCAGGGTTACCCACTCTGTAGTGGTAATTTGGAAACTGATTCCTAAAAGTTTGAAGTAGGACCTACAAAGGCCACTATCAGATCTGCTAATGAATATTGTAGAAGTCAGGAAAAATTCACTTCCTTTTAATATGCACCTTAAAATTAAAAAGCATTTACTCCATTGCTTCATTTAATTTTTTTTTAGTTGTAGACAGATACAATACCTTTATTTTGTTTGTGTATTTTTATGTGGTGCTGGGAATCAAACCCAGTGCATTATCTGTGCTAGGCAAGTGCTCTAACACTGAGCTACAATCCCAGCCCCTCCATTACTTCTTAAGGCAAAGGTTGGCAAAGAGTATATTATAAAATGATCTCAAGTGTGATTATAACTTGTGATCAAAGACCAGTTAAACACATCATATAAGAGGTTCCTGAGTCTATTTCCCCAAGTAATGTTACAGTGAATGGCCTCAGTTTTTTGACACTGATTTAATTTAGTATTTCCAAATACTTAGGAAACATTGCAGAGGATTCCAGAAAGTCTCAGGAGGCGGAGTTTCCATGATCTTATCTTCACATCACCATCTCTTTCCCTTTCCACCCAGTGGCTCATCTACTAGCAGGGGTAATCATTAGGGTGACCAAAGGATCATTTTGCCTAATTTATGTCTTTTGTCCTGGCACAATTAACAATACCCATTTCACTCTCAAGGGCATCCTAAGTATATGATCACCTCACCTTCCCATGGAAAGAACATGAGATTTGTTTTAAAGACCAAGTTCAAAATTTAGTTTTGCTGCTTAGAATTGTGTAATCTTCATTATCTACACTCCCTGAATCTGATTTCTTTCCCTGCAAATGGGGATAATATCAAATTTCCAAGTTTACTGTAAGTATGAGAAATATGTAAAAGCAATTTGGACACACTTATTTCATCCACAAGCAACTAGAGCTGAGCAATTGGCCTTCTCTCTGAATACCATTACCTTGCCTACTTGGAAGCAATCATCTGCTGTGAGGGAGAAGATCCGTCTGGGACTGTACAAGTCAGTGACGTCAGAGCCAGTGACTCTCTGAAAGACACCTCGGGCCAGGCCCTTCACATTGAGCATGTACACATCCTGCAGCCGCATCAAGGCCCGTGCTGCTCCTTCAAGGTCCTCAAAGGCTGGGAGGTCTTGTTCCACCTTCTCATAACCATCCTTAAGAGCTGTAAAATTAGTAAAACATAATTTATCCTTCAAAAAAACAGGTAACAGGCTGGGGATGAGGTAGTGGTAGAGCCCTTGCCTAGCTTGAACAAGGCCCTGAGCTCCATCCCCAGTACCATCAAAAAAAAAAAAAAAGGAAGTATTAAGCATTTAATGCCTGTAAGGCATGACAACCCATTCAAATATTCCATGAGATAAGGTTTTATTTGTATTGTGTTCCCAGTTCCTGGGAATCACAGTTACTGGAACAGGGTAGAGGAACATTTAGAATGAGTAAATGAAGAACAAAATAGGCATACACCCTCATCATATTGTCTCATCTTATAACCCTAGGAATCTTGCCTTTTCTTTCTCCTCACTTTACAAAAGCCAACAAACTTCTTAAAGTACAAGTAGAATAAGTTAGGAAAGTGYTCTTGCTGCAGATGATATTGTATTTTCCCATCAAAAACTTAGTGAAATAGGAACTACCAGAAGACCACTCTTTCACACACATACCCATGGCATGACAGATCCTGTGCGTCTTCACAGGATCATAGTGAAGATCAGAGACTATGGACATGAAAGTGTTTTCCAATCCATAATCATATAACTTATTAACAAGAAGACCTAATTCTTTGAACTTACAAGAGCTAAGAACATCAACTAACACGTACCCACTCCATTACTCTTCATCGCATCCCACTAGAGTTCCTCTCCTTACCACTGATTGAGTCAGGAGACAGGAGTTTCCCTCTCACCCTCCAGCCCTCTTCCTCATTACCTTGGATGTTCTCACTGGCCTCCAGGCTATGCACCACATTCCTCCAGTCAGACTGCAGCCTTTTGATGAGAGTAAAGGCAAGCAGAGGGTTAGCCACAGGGGCTGCTGGGTCCTCATGGAGTGAAAGCACCTTGTCATAGAACCTGAAAGAGAGGAGTAGAATGAGTTCACCTCCTGACACAACTGCTCCACTCATGGAAGTTGGTTGTATGCTGTGCATACATTAAGAGTAAAGGACAAAATGGGGCTGGGGGATGTCAGACTCCACCCTGGATAGCTCAGTGGTAGAGCACTTGCCTATCATACACCAGGCCCTGGATTTGATCCCAAGGGCAGTAGGGGTGGGGAGTAGCTAAAACTGAAATTCTGAACCTCTTGAGACTCATGTAACAGGCTAACCAAAAAAGCCAGGAAAGCACAAAGAATATGAAAACTACACATTCAGAAAAAGTAGGTCTGGGGCTGTGGTTGTGGCTCAGTGTAGAGCACTTGCCTAGCATGTGTGAGGCACTGGCTTGGATTCTCAGCACCACATATAAATAAATGAATAAAATAAAGGTCCATCAACAATGAAAAATAAATATAAAAATAGATTTTTTAAAAAAGTAGATCTGCTGGGCACAGTAGTACACACCTGTAATCCCAGCATCTTGGGAGACTGAGGCAGAAGGATCACAAAATCAAAGCCAGTCTCAGTAACTTAGTAAGGCCCTAAGGAACTCAGCAAGAATCTGTCTCTAAATAAATACAAAAAAAGGCTATGGAGGCATGGGGTTGTGGCTTAGTGGGAAAGCACTTGCCTTGCACATGTGAGGCCCTGAGTTCGATCCTCAGCATCACATAAAAGTAAATAAATAAAATAAAGGTATATTTAAAAGGGGGGGGCAGGCTGGGGATGTGGCTCAGTGGTTGAGAGCCCCTGGGTTCAATCCCCAGTACCAAAATTAAAAATAGGTCCAACTACTTGTTTGTTCACTGAATGAATAAGTCTACACCAAATGCTATATGTCATGCTAGGTCTTAGAGATACAAATGATTTTTTAAAAGTAAGTCTTTTTATTCTGTTATCACTCTATATCTTAGTGTCTGGCAGAAACTCAAAAACACTGTTGAATAAATTATGATAACTGGGGCTGGGGATGTGGCTCAAGTGGTGCCACACTCGCCTGGCATGCTTGGGGCGCTGGGTTCGATCCTCAGCACCACATAAAAATAAAATAAAGATGTTGTGTCCACCGAAAACTAAAAAATAAATATTAAAAATTATCTCTCTCTCTTAAAAAAATTATGATAACTGTGACACATGCTATGAGAAATTAAACTTATAATCTTATGTGAGCTTGCAAGCAGCTCATCTAGCCCAGTTAGAAAGGGTTAGGAAAGACTTCCCAGAAGAGAGAGCACTTAATTTGATTCTTGAAGGATTGTTAAAATATTAGTGGTTACTACTTACTAAGCTCTTACCATGATTGGGCATTCTTTAATATACTGCCTCATTTAATCCCCCCAACAACTCTTAGTGTATTTTATTTTGCCCATTTATGGGAGAGGAAACTGGAACAAGGCCACACTATTAGTAAATGGCAAAACCAGAACTGAGCCCAAGTCTGCCTAACTCAGAAGACTGAGTTCTCAGCTGATTCTGCCATGTTTCCTATGGTGATTGAACAAAGAAGAGAGAAACAATCTTCTTTGAGCCAACAGGGATCAGTGTACACAAAGGGGCAAGAGACTTGACCTATATTTATTTATTCATTATAACCTATTATTAATCTATCTGGTTAGTTTCTAGATGTCAGACTCCACGCTGGATAGTGGGGATACAGAAGAAAGATAGAGCCAATGCACGAAAAGTTTTTGGACCCCCCCAAAATGTATTTCTCATCACTGTGTGTACCCAAGTTCAATTCATATTTATGCAAAAATGAATAAAATATACTCTTATAGGAGCTGAGGAAAAAATTTTAATAAAAAACTGGCCTCAAGGACTCACAGTCCAGTGGGTAAAACAGCAAAAGATGCTGTTTCCTCTCCTGGCATACTGTGGTCATTCTATTTCCAACACATTGATGGAATTTATGATTGAAATCTATTGGTTATATTTAATAGGGCAGGTTAAGGATATTAGTCCTGTCCTTTTAGAGTGTTTTCCCTTTATCTAAATATTGTTAATTTCAAAAATAATATAATAACAAAAAGAAAGAAGTATGTGTTCAAGGTGAGAATATGAATGTGTCCAAGAACACATGAGACTATAAGAGTCTTTTGGGAAGAATGAACAAGTAGAAAGGCATGAACAAGAAGAAGAGAGGGCTGGCAGGGTAAAAGGATTTCAATCCCTGGATGCAGAGTCTGATCTGAGGATTTCTAAAGACTGGGGCTCTCAACTAAGAAAGGGGGCCTGAAATAGAAGTGACTAGCCCAGCAGTTTCCAGGAAGACAAATGTTCAATTCAACATAAATTAAGGAACAAGAATCTGGGCCTGGGTGACCCAGGCAGGACATGGGATGTCTGTCAAGTTCCGGGATGTCTCTCATCCCAAAGACAGGGCAGTCTGTGAGCTGCTACTCCAAGGTTTTGAAACTAAACCAGCATCCAGGGTGTGGGATCATTTCACTGCCCATTATTTCCTGCTTTGGCTCCATATGGAACTATTTAGTAAAAGATATTCCACTGCTAGACGACAAAAAATGTACAAGCAGAGACTTGGGCTGAACCCAGCTTAAAAAGCAAGTCCAGGAACAATTKAGACTGAGTAGGCAGTGATTTTATAAGATAGTTGGACAGGGAAGAGGTGGGAGGAGGCCGGAGACTAACTTGGACGCAGCCTCCAACCCACCTTCAGTTTCAAACTCTATAAAATAAAATTTAGTCTAGTCTAGAAGGTCTCTATATGTCCCTTCAACACGCACATTCCATTATTTCTTCCCCCACCTTGACCACAACTGAGTAGACTCCTCATTAGCTTAAAGACTAACTTTTAACAGGCATCTGAGAAAACTGAGGCATGAAGGGAAAGAAGCAAGGCAGAGAGATGAATATTTGCTCTAAGCCATCCATCAAATTAAAAGTACTGTCTATATCTTTGTTTTCTTCCACCCCACTTTCCATTTTGGGGTTGATTTGTTTAGGTCAGGGGTTTGATCTTTACTATAGCACATCAACCCAATCCACTGTTCAAATATGCTGTTTTTTTTTTTCTGTTCCACAAAGAAAAAAGGGGGAAAAAATCTATTGACTGATATCTGAGGCTGGTTTGGAATCCAAAAATTGGCCCTATGCCCAGTGTCTGAGCAAATAGCTAGTTTCCAGAAACTGAGTTATGGGATGCTGAATTCAAACCTCAGGGTTTCTTAAATGGCTTTTTGCTTTAACAAACGTTTCTGAGAGTGGAAAATTTGATCCTTTTCTTCAAGAATTTGCACAGAAAATTTGCAACCCAATCCCTGCATAAAACATAGCCTGGGTTGGTTATCTGATCCAGGACATGGCTGTTTCAACTCAGTGTGTTTCTTCTTTGAAACTCAGAAATGGCTTTGTCTCAGTGCTTCTGAGACATTCTGAATACTTAATTCTTAGTCCAGAAAAAAAAATTGCTGCTAATTCTAATTCTATTCACACTTCATAGTTTTTAAACTGCAACAACAAAAAAAGCTATAGGTTAACTATATATGTATGGCTAATATATGCATTATGCTAGAATATAATGATAGATACTATAACTAGTATAAATTTTATTCATTAACTTGGGGTAGGGAATCGTTTCAACATCCAAAAATATTTCATTTCCCAATTTAGAAATTCAAAAAATACAAACTGGGGGCCTTAGAAATAACATCTGAAATTACATAAGATTACCATATTGGAGGTTTAGAAAAGCGAGCAGAAACTGCCAAAAATTCATGTTTTAAAAAGCAAACATTTCACTGGGTTTTTGAGTATAACTAGAGAACAGAATTGGAGTCTCCAAAATATCAAACTTCACAATTTTACAACTTAATCAAACTTTACAAAATAAAATGTTCATAAATTATCTAAGAAACAGATTTAGAACTTTTCTAATTGTTTTTTTTCTATCTGGCCTCTTAGAATCCTAGCAAATGCTTAGAGCCAACAGTGGGGATTAATTTCATCAGCCAGTCCTAATGAACAATAATCATGTAGCATTAACATTTTTTAAACATTTTCAATATTTATTATTTTAGTTTTCAGCGGACACAACATCTTTGTTTGTATGTGGTTCTGAGGATCGAACCTGGGCCGCATGCATGCTAGGCGAGCATGCTACCGCTTGAGCCACATCCCCAGCACCATAGCACTAACATTTGTCAAGTAATTATTACATGTCACACACAATGATAAATATCTTTACACAGTAATCAATCCTTACAACAATCCTATGAGGGGGTTAGCACTATTTTTATCATTATTTGATAGACAAGCTGCTTAAAGCTTCAAGGGATAAGGAAACATGTCCAAGGCCAGAGTCTAGGATTTAAACAGAGGTCTACTGAACTCTTGAATCCAGGCACTGAGCCATCACATACTCTGGCCACTAACAAAACCTCCTGCAGTTATGGGGCTTGGTCTGTGTCCTGGCATATCAGACAAAGCAAGCAGGAGGGACACTGCAGCATGATGGAAAGAACATTGGGTAAACAGGGTCAAGAGAACTATATCCTAGTCATGGATTTGCTAGCTCCTAGATTTATAATCTTGGACAAGCTACTAGATGATCTCTCATTTCTAAGAGTATAAAACAAACCTAAGCATTATGAGAATCAAATGAAATAAGGTTTATGCAAGGCCTCCCACTGTGACAAAACTGTGACAAGCTGCTCACACATCTCCATATGCAAACTGATTCTCTTCTACATGGACTCTCACATAGCCAGTGTCCCACACACCTTTTCCCCGTGTCACTCCAGAATCAGTATTAATATCACACACACTCAAAGTTTTTTAGTGTAGATGGACACAATATCTTTTTAATTTTTTTAATATGGTGCTGAGGATCGAACCCAATGCCTTACATGTGATAGGCAAGCACTTGACCACTGAGATACGACCACAGCCCTCACTGAAAGTTTTATAACAGCTCATTGTGTTGTCTCAGCTGTATACATCTGACAGGGTCACTTGTATAAGTACAATTTTAGCATGTTGAATAGCGAGATGGTCACAATCACTGCTACTTATAGGGTTGTGGCTTTCTCAATTCCCAAGCAGAGAAGGCATAACACACAGTGATACATATGGTACTATATACAAACATTCATCTTTCATTGTTTGACGCAGAGTCAATACATGATCATCATGTCCCAGAATCCCCAGCTTTATAATAATTTATCCCATATAGTGTAGTTTTTTGCTTGGATAGCAAAATCTGAGCATCTGCCTATTAATGCTACCCTCAATGTCTTCTAGCATCAAGTAGGGCTTTTCAAAGTGTTTTCTTGGTGTCAAATACTTTCACACACATATAACATCTCAGTTACCATTTATTTAGTATTTACTAGATTTGGAGATCACACTGAGCCTCAGAGTTACTCCCAACCTCAAGACACAATGTCTCCCCCGCCCCCAGGCTCCTTGGAGGCTCCCACCCACCACCTGAGCAGCTTTTTCATGTGTAAAGAGAAGGAAAGTTTGGCACGGTACCGGGTGGGAGACACCTGTAATTCCAATGCCTCCTTCTGAGGCAGAAGGATTGAAAGTTCAAAGCCAGCCTCAGCAATTTAGCGAGGCCCTAAGCTACTTAGGGAGACCCTGACTCTAAATTAAAAAAATATAAAAAAGGGCTGAGGATGTGGCTTAGTGGTTGAGTGCCCCTGATTTCAATTCTGGGAGAGAGAGAGAGAGAGAGAGAGAGAGAGAGAGAGAGAGAGAGAGATGAAAATAAGGGAGAGAAAATATATCTTTGATTAACAATAATGGAATAATGGTGCTATAGGCCCAAACTCCTTTATGATATAGTTAGGTCTTATCACCATTTTATCTCCAGTGCCTGGAGCAGTGCAGGGTTCAGAGTGGGCACTCAAACATATGTGTTGGATGAATTAATAAAGCATTATTCATATAGTAATCTGCACAATTATTTGTCATCTTTCATATGCACAGTATGATATCCATATTGTGTCCCAGTGACACATCCATCTCTTACATGGTAGCAGAATGTCATCTGATTCCTCATACTAAATATCAGTTTGCTGGGTCACATAGTACTTCACAGTGGGGGCTCAAAAAGCCAATACAAAGGGCTGTGGTTATAGCTCGGTAGTACAGCAATTGTTGGGCATGTGTGAGGTCCTGGGTTCCATCCTCAGCACCACATACAAACATAAATAAATAAAATAAAGGAATTGTGTCCATCTACAATTTAAAAGAAAATCCAATACACATTGAGATACAGCATCACCCTGTTCTCACACCATCTCACTCTGGCAGTGTCTATTTCAATGCAACATTTTCCCGTCCTGTGCCTGTGGCAATGTGACACAGAGCCTCAGGTCCCACACAGCTCGACACAGCTCTTGTGAGGTCCCACTTGGCCCTACAGTCACCCTGCCACACTTTCCCACAGAGTATCAACTTCTCTGTGTGAGGCTGGATCTGGTGTGAGTGTGTGTGTGTGTGTGTGTGTGTGTGTGTCCCTACATGGTGTGCAGTATGAAACAGCTCCCCCACGGTGTCCAAGGGCCCCTCACTCAGTGACAGTGGCTCTGGAGGTCACACTGAGTCTCAGAGTCAGTCCCCACCCCAGGCCACAGTGTCTGCCACGGCGCTCCCCCTCCACGCCCTCACCTGGTCAGGTCCCTCAGTCGCGCCTCCTCCCCGCGCAGGTAGCGCCGCAGCAGCCCCAGCAGCCGGCGCTCGGGTGCCAGGGCGCGCGCCACGCAGGTCAGGGCCGAGAACGTGTCCTCTCGCGCCGCTGCCCCTGCCGGGTCCTCGGCCCGGAGAGCCAGCACCGCCAGCAGCGCCGCCAGCCTCGCGGCGGGGCCCATCGCCGGCGCTCGCCCGTTCCCTCAACGTCCCGCCCGTCGGCCCCGCGCTCCTGCCTGCCCCGCCCCTCGGCCAACTCCCCTCCCCGTCTCGCCCCGCGCCGGGCGCTGCGCGGGGTTCAGACGCCTCGCGCCGCTCCCCACCTGCCCGTGGTGCACCTCGGTGTCCGCCCACCCGACACTAAATCGCAGTCCCCGGAAGATTTCCTCTGGGCAGGTCACACTGGGGAAATTGAGGCAGGAGGTGTAATGAGCAATGAATTCACTGGTCCAGGGCTGCACAATACCACCCCCCAAATATTCACCCCTCGGGTTTAAGAGGTGGAAATACACACCTGGATTCTGGTGGGGAAATGGCCAGAGTAAAAGATGCGGTGTGGTGATAGCGGTGCGGGTGAAACGGTGAGAGAGCGGATGGCAAATGGCAAAGGGCAAACGCTTCGCAGAAGTCACCCCTGAGCTATCTTGAAGGATGAATAGCACAGGATTTATAAAACTTAAAACCTAGGGATCCTACGTCATTACACAATATGCCTGTTGTGTATCTTAAAAGTCACTTAAGCAAACAACAATATTCTACCAGGTTACTTATTTTTCCCCCTTTTATTAATTTCCCAGGCAACGCTCATTTATTTTCATGCAACAAATATTAGCATTTATGCTATTGTGTTTAAGACATAGAAAAAGAGAAGATCCAAACCCGTACTCACATGGGCAGATGGAAATATTTACAAAACCCGTTAAAAAAGTGCTATCCTCTGGCGACCTTTGRCACATACCTGTAATCCCACATACTGGGGAATCTGAGGTAGGAGGATCATAAGTTTGAGGCCAGCCTGGGCAACTTAGTGACACCTTGTCTTAAAAATAAACAAGGGCTAGTGGGGTAGCCACGTGGTAAGTGCCCTGGGTTCGATGATCCCCAGTATGAATAAATAAATAAATAATGAATTAAAATTTTAAAATGCTGTCAGATAATCGAGGGCTGCATGATGTGCCACGGCAGCACTGGGAAGGGAGCCCACCCCTGTTTATAGGTGGTGGAGAGGGTTTCACAGATGTGTATTAGTCCAACAGGATGAAAAGGAATTAATTGCCTGGATGATGACAGGCAAATGGGGTTTTCCTGGCAGAAGGTATCTATGTGTACCAAGATTTGCAGGTGGAAAATTGTTTGAATTCCAAAAATGATGAAATGCTCCGAATGGTTGGGACTGCCAGGTTGTGAAAGCYTGTGCATGTCATACAAAGAAAATGTAGCCACTCTCCTCTGAAAACCCAATAGAAGTTTTAAAGGTTATGATACTAGTAATAACAATAGCAACCGTAAAATAATAAATACTAAGTTCTCCCTGTTGGCACCTGTCCCAATCATCCTACATGTACTAATTCCCCTGGTGGTGGCCTCCAGAAGTGGGGGAGAGGGAAAGAGAGATGTGGGGGAGGTGTCAGGGATAAGATACAGTCCATTGCAAGTGTACAGAAATACAATAGAGTTTTGTATATGATCTTGTATCCTGTCATCTTGTTGAACCTGTTTATTTGATTTTGATTTCTTATGATTTTATAGATTTTATTATTTTAAACTACCTGAAAATAGTTTATTTCTTCTATTTCAATTTGTTTATTTTTTTTAATCTGGTGCTGAGGATTGAACCCAGTGCCTCACAAGTGAGGGTCAAGCACTCTACCACTGAGCCACAACCCCAGCCCCTTTTTTCTTTCTTTCCTTGCTTTATTGAACCTAATTGACGGGGGTGGTACTTCTAGTATAATGTTGAATAGAAGTGACAAGAAAAGACAATGTGTTCTTATTCCAGGTCTTGGTAAAAGGGCTTTCAGTCTTCCATCATTATCTGATGTTAGCTGTAGGGTTGGGTGTTTTTGTTTTTGTTTTGTTGTCAATGTTCTACTCCCAGTTTGTTGTGTTGTTAATCTGGTGAATGTATTTTCTGTATGTATTGAGATGATCATGTGTTTTTGTCCTTTATTTTCTTAATATGCTGTGTTATATTGACTGATTTTTGTATGTTTGAACCAACTTTGCATTCCTAAAATAAATGCTAATTGGTCATAGTATGTAATCATTATTTATTTATTTATTTTTGTGTGTGGTGCTGGCAATTTGTTATGGATTGAATGTGAGGTGTTATCCCACCCCCAAATCTCATGTTAGACAATGGAGGAATGGTCAGAGGTGAAATGATTAGCTTATGAGAGTTGTAACCTAACCAGTGGATTGACCCAGTTGATGTATCAATAATTTGAAAGGATTACTGGCCGGTAATTATAGGCAGTTGGGGCATGGCTGGAAGAAATAGGGGAAAGGTGTCCTTGGGGATGATATATATTGTCCCCAGCTCCTCATGCCCTCTCTCTGCTTCCTCTCTGTCATGAGCTGAGCAGCTTTCCTCTGCCACACCCTTCCACCATGATGTTCTGCCTCACCTCAAGTCCGGAGCAATACAGCCGGCCAACCATGGAGTCAACCTCCAAAACCGTGATTCCAAAATAAATTTTTCCTCCTCTAAGTTGTTATTGTTAGGTATTTTGATCACAGTAACAAATAGCTAAGTAACACAGGATTTAACCCTGGGGCTTGAGCATGCTAGGCAGGTACTCCATAACTGAGCTACATCCCATACCCCTCACAGTGTATAATCTTGATCACATGTTGCTGGGTTTGGTTTGCTAAAATTTTGTTGAGGATTTTTATGACTATGTTCATAAAGTAAGTTCTTGTGTTATCTTTGTCTGCTTTTGCTATCAAGATAATATTGATCTCGGGGCTGGGACTGTCGCTCAGTGGTAGAGCACTCGCCTAGCATGCTTGAGGCACTGGGTTCAATCCTTAGCATCGCATAAAAATGAACAAATAAAATAAAAAGCATGCTTAAAAGTAATTAATTAATTAATAATAAATAAATTAATAAATAATAGGGCCCTTGTCTCTCATGTGTGAGGCACTGGGTTCGATTGTAAGCATATAAATAAAATAAAATAAAGGTCCATTGATAACTAAAAAAAWTTTTTTTTAAAGTATTGTGTCCATCTGCAGCTAAAAAATAAAAAGATAATACTGGTCTCTGAGAAAGACTTGGGAACGGTTCCCTCCTTTTCTATATTTTGGAAGAGTTTGTGAAGGATTAAAATTCATTCTTCTTTACACATTTGGAGTAATTCACCTTAAAGTCATTTAAGCCTTGGCTTCTTTTAGGAAATTATTATTATTATTGATTCAATTTCGTTAGCAATTTTAGAGCAAGGCTGTTGGCAATGAATCCTCTTAATTTTCTTTCATCTGAGAATGCTTTTATTTCACTTTTATTCCTGATGTTTATTTTCACTGAATGTAGACTTCTGGGTTAGCAATTCTTTTCTTTTAGTGTTTTTAAAATGTCCTGGCCTCATAGTTTCTGACAAGAAATTCAGTTACTTGAATCATTGTTATCCTATTTATAATGCATCATTTTTTCTCTGGCTAGTTTCAAGACTTTTCTTTGTCTTTATTTTTTAGCAGTTTGATTATGATATGGATGTCATAGATTTCTTTGAGTTGATCCTGTTTGGGATTCACTGAACTTAGTTCTGTACGTTTGTGTCTTTTATCAAATTTGGGAAATATTTAGGCATTATTTCCTCAAAAACTTTTTCCTCTCCTAGAATTCTTTTTTAAAAATTTTTTGGTTTTTTAGTTATACACAGACACAATATCTTTATTTTTGTTTACTTATTTTTATGTGGTGCTGAGGATCGAACTCAGTGTCTCACACGTGCAAGGCAAACACTTTGCCACTGAGCTACAACCCCAGGCCCCTCTTTTAGAATTCTAATGACATGAATTTGATATTGCTTCACAGGTCCCTGTAGCTCTGATCATTAATTTTTTTTCATTTAGATTAAATAATTTCTATTTTCAAGTTCATTGACTCTTCTTTCCTCTGTCATTTCTATTTTTCTGTTGAATCCATCATGAATTTTTTATTTTGGTTATTAAACTTTCAGTTCTGACATTTCCATTTAGTTCCTCTTTAAATCACCTATATTTTGTTGATACTTTCTTTCCATTAATTTCAAGAATATTAACTCTTGCTTCTTAGAGCATTTTATAACATTTATCTTAACATCTTCAACAAGTTCAAAGTTTGTGTTCTTTCTTCATTGACAGCTATTGATTGCTTTTCATGCTAATTGAGATTTCCTGGATCTTTTTATGCAGAGTAATTTTGGATTAAATACTAGACATTTTGAATATTACAAGTGTCTAAAGCTTGTCTAAATCTTTAGAGAAATATTAATGTCCTTGTTTAAGTATACCATTTGGCCTTCTTGGATTGAGGGCACAAGTCCTGGTCTGCCTCTATGGTTGTGGTCAGTTCAGTTTTCAATGCCTTTGCAATTCCATTCAGACCTGTGCACAGCCATTAGCTGGTTTTGGATGTAGACAGTGTTCTGCCTCAGTACTCAAACCTTTGGTATACCCTTCAATGTCAAATCCATGTATGCATAGCTTAGTGAACCCAAGAATTATGGGGTTGCTCTCCCAAGGTCTTCCCTGTGATCAGTCTGGTATGTGTCAGTCCCTTGAAGTTCCTACATTTGGTCTTCTGGCCAGAAACCACAGGTTTCACTTACCCCACTATGCTGTGTACTTCTTGGGACCACACATATCCAAGGCCAAATGGCATGACAGAGTCCTCAAATGCCTGCTCCATGCATTCTGTCTGGATTTTATAACTACACACAGTGGGTCCGACAGGGTAGAATACATCTGTTTCATCTTTCCCTCAACCAGAATTTCCCACAATATTTTGTTTAAATTCCTCATTAGGTAAGACTGTAAGTCACTTTAAGTAACAGCAGGGCTCCAAGTTTATCTAAAACTGAATCAAACTAAAATTTAACTAAATTAATCTACAAATACAAATCATTATATGACATTAGAATATTTTCCTAGTGTAGTTAGCTTTGTGAGAGCTCAACTTCCTTTTTATTACTTAGCAAGGTAGTGGTTTTTTATTTTGTTTGCAATCTGTATTATTAGACCATCCCTTTCTG